ATTTAAAGCAGTCATGGCTTCTCCCTAAAGATTTCTGGGAGCAGTACTCTGTTAAGTGTGCTGAGAGTTGGTAGGAGAGTCCCTATTGCCCTCATGGAGCTGCAATTTCCAGAGTGGTTGAACAATCCCATCTCTATCCATAGGGCACTCGTGACTGTTTAAATGGTATCATAGGGCTTTAAATGTATGTTGTGACTGTGACCATGGTTAAAATTCCACTGTAAATGTACTGTATATAGAGGAATGGGAAGAAAGGAGAAATGGAGGGAAACAGAGGCAATGCTAACAAGTTTTGAATGTGAGCAACTGGGACATGCATAAGCTTGTATGCAGCAGCATTTAAGCACGCATATACTTGGTGTATGACTCCTGAATTTATTGCTGATTGGTATACGTGTATAACCATTTGCCATCTAAATAGTATCTGGAATGGAGATCCTGAGTCTCCCTGCCAACCTCCCTGAAACCAGCATTCAGTTTGGAGGCATGCAAACCTACCAACTAACACCCGGCCAGACTTCCCCATCTGGAATGAGCTAAACTTCAACAATTCAAGTTAAAAACAAATTATCTGGACTGACCAGATTAGCTTGCCAGACCTCTGCTGGAGGTTTGGTTTGATATGCTGGAGCCTGATTTGGTCTGCTAAACCCTGGCTCAGAGCCTGGAGCACCTTCTAACTCTGCATTGCTATGATTCTATGTCATGGCTTGCTTCTGCAATCCATGCCTTGGTAAATCCATGCCCATCCCATGTTATACATGGGATTTCCTTTGAAAATGGTCTGGAAGTTTCAGTAGGTACATAATAAGACTGCCAGCTGGGTGTTATGAACATGTTGTGCATGTCACCTTCAATACCTCCCCGTCTAATTCCTGGCTCAGTTGACTTCAGTTGACCTTCATTGCCTGAGACCGCATTGTGTCAGCTGTTTTCACATAGATGCTCCCAGACCCTGGGATCTTCTTCTCAGACCATTCTTTGAGGGCCAAATGGGGTGATGACAAATGGCTACTGGCTAAGGCCTTTTCAGTGCTGGCACCCCTGTTGTGGCCCACCAGAGAGATACATCTGGAACCTATTTTAATGGTGCCAGGAAAATAACTTCTTTATTTTCCCATTCACATTCTAGTATTTCACATTCTTTTGACTTTTTTTTTAATTTTCTGTTCTCCATGTTCTTTCATCTGCTTTGATCTTATCTGGGATTGCTGTTGTGTTTTCTCTTATTGTATTTTTTATTGTATCGTATTTTTAATTTGTTATTTTTATTCTCTGAGTTGCCAGGAGAACCTTTTGTTACAAGGAGGCTTATAAATAATGTAAATAAATGCATAAGTATGCTGAAGCATGCCAGAGCCTTGTGACCTCCAGACCTGTCAATAAGATCTTTTCTGCTGGTCCTCTGGAGACACCAGTTGTTTGCTACCTTTTATTTTCATCTTCAATTTAAACCAGAGTACTTCAAATTTAAACATGTTATCATCACCTGGATGAAAATTGGTTTCAGTCTAAGAGCTCTGGTTTGAAAAGGCTAAGAATCAGGCTACTTAGATCTTATAAAAGATTTAAAATATGCAACAAGGCTCATCTCAAAATTTATGCAAAGACTCACCTAGGAATGGAGGAGGAATCTATTTTAAATGGTTCTAATCTATGCACAGAATTTGGGAGCTTCAGCCCAGTTGATCTTTCCATCAGTCCTTGCTGTTCATGCACTGGGCATTTGTCGTTGTTTGTTTAAAATAGGCAGACTAATGACATGCAACAATATAAGCAAGAAAAATATGTATATTATCGATATAATATTTATAAAGAGCCCATGCTATACTATATTTCTGCAGCATATTTTATAAATATTAACACCTAAGCATTTTTGTGCAGTTTTACACATTGTTATATGTACCCGTTTATGTGCTGGTTGCTTTAAGATGCCAGGATCATATATATTAGGGGGACACAGCAGTCACCAGATTTGCCTTTTATCTGTAATATTTAGAAGCAGCCCAATTCAATCCAGTTCAATGAGTTATTCAGATCTGCATCTGATCTGTTAAATCTGAAGCTCCATTTTACCCACTTCATTGACTATAACAGGGAGTCTACAAACCAGTGTATTTTTCCCCATTTTCCCTTAAGTGTTGACATTGTCTGTATTAAGCTTTAGCTGATTAGCCTTCATCCAGCCTATTACAGCTACCAGGCCCTAATTCAGAACACCAACAGCTTCCTTGCTATTAGATGAAAAGGACACCAGAATGTTGATCATAACATTCTCCTAATCCCCAGGCAATCTCTTCTAGTACTAGTCCCATGTTGCTGTTAACAGCTAGGAGCTTATGTGGAAACCTGTCATTCTCAGCTGCTTAGAGCATTCTTCAAGGCAATAATAATTATTTTGGTGTTGTATAAATCTTTGTAAGCCTTGCTGAAATGTACATTTTGCAGCTGTGATGATATTTTGTTTACATTATTATAAATTACTTACTATGATCAATATATTATTGCTACCATTGTGTCCCTTCAGCGCAATTTCTTTGGTTGTTATACAGAACTGTGCCCTTGTATGTGATTTCCCATGTATATGTTAAACAACATGGTGGACAAGATCGCACCCTGAGTGATGCCAAACAAAAATGGCCAAGGCATTTAACAAGAGTCTGCCAGCAGCAGCCTCCTAGCCCAGGAATGGGGAATCCTTGGCCCTTAAGATATTGTTGGCCTATGACTCCCAACAGCCCCTAATTGGTGTGGCCAGTGGTCAGAGAAGATGGGGACTAGAGTCCAACAACAAATGGAGGGCCACAGGGTCTCACTCCCTGCCTCACAAAGTTATTTCAGGGGAAATGCTTTTCAGAGTCAGGAACCTAGTCACAAAATGATGGTTTGTAATTTTGAGAGCACTCAGCTGAGTTGAAAGAAAGGCAGCATATTTCCTAAAGAGGCCCAGTTGGTTCATAGTTGGACTGGAATTTGAACTGAAACCCTTCTCATGCAAGTCCACACCAGCTAGGAAAGAGAGAGGCATTTATCAGTAAGCCAGAAACAACTACAGTGGTACCTCGGGTTACATACGCTTCAGATTACAGACTCCACTAACCCAGAAATAGGTTAAGAACTTTGCTTCAGGATGAGAACAGAAATCGTGCTCTGGCGGTGCGGCATCAGCAGGAGGCCCCATTAGCTAAAGTGGTGCTTCAGGTTAAGAACAGTTTCAGGTTAAGAACAGACCTCCGGAACGAATTAAGTACTTAACCCGAGGTACCACTGTACTACTACTACTTTTTTACAGGTCTGTTTCTAGAAAGCCAGAATTTGCTAATAGATTTTGGCTGGCAGGCTGCCAAGCAGGAAAGTGCAACCTCTGAAATCTTTCTCTCCCTCTCTCCCACTCTCTTCTTCTTTTACTTAGGGCTCATTAGCAAAAGCAGCTGCTGGTTCATTCAGTATTAATGTTTGCCTGTAATGAAGGACACTCCACCCACTTGTGGGACAAAGGAAGTGCGGCGGGGTGGGGGTGGGGGGAGAGAATATATAAAAAGAAAGATTTCTGCACCAAACTGCTCAGGATCAATCAGCTTAGCTGGTGTATAATAAGGCACCATTTTGTGAGATGTTCACAGAACACTGAGAAGATGCACAAATCTTCACTTTCTTGAAAACAACTCCAGCAAGTAATACTCACACTTCTTTGGTAAAAATGATCAAAGTGAGCATGTAGCATATTTGACAACCTGGTGTAGATTTCAGTGCTAGTACCTTGCAAAATATGCCTGGAAGGTTTGCCTTTGGGAATGTAGATGTTCACTATGCCACCATAAATCCTGGCTCAAAACAAACAATCTGAGGTAGCAAGTCAACAGAATCAACAGAATTGTGGGCTGAGCTGCTTTGTGTGAATATTTTGCTTTGTGGAGCGGTCTCTACATTTGGGGTCAACGGGTCCTTGAATAAAATCTTGCTTTTTGAGAGGCGATGGCTGTTCCCTCAGCTGCCCATGCAAACACAAAAGGTGGAAATGGAGGAAACATAGTTGTGAAAATGTGTTAAAAAAGAAAGATTGCAAGCTCCTTAGAAGAGGAAGCTGTATTCTTCTACTCTGCAGAGTGCCAGCCATACAACACTATATATAATAGAAACAACAATTTCTTTGGGTTAGTGACACTTCTCTTAAAATTGCCTTGTAGCAAAATCAGTCGCACCACAGGGCTTTGTGTTTAGATCACCAGAGGTCATGATGCCATGACTTGAATATGTGAATCAGGATGCTGCCCATGTGGACTTCCAGACATTGTTGGTCTACAACTCCCCCCTTCCCTGACAATTGGTTGTGCTGCCTTGGCCTGATGGGAGTTGGAGTCCAAGGATATCTGGAAAGTCACAGCTTCCCCAGGACTGCCTCAGTCTTTTACTCTCCTGCAGCATCAGTAAGTATATATGGAAATAGTGGAAACTCTTTGAATGCTGGAGTTCATTGGTAATCCTTTTGATTTTAGGAAGCCAGACAGAAAGGTCTAGAAAATGCTGGTAAAGTGCAAGCCCAATTGAGGATATATTCCTAACTCCTAGCTGGCAGCTGTGGGGCTTAATGGATTAGCAGCCAGCACTGAATTCGCAGTGCTGCCCAAATCAGAAAATACGGGGGCAGGAATCCCCCTTCCTTCTCTCAGGCTGGAATAGCAAAGAGGCTCAAATCTGGCTCAGTGCTGTCACAGGATGGCAGCAGGTGCAGCACATAATTCAACTGGCTGCCATTAGTGGGGATTCCACCAGCAGTAACTTCTGCCCATCCATGATTTGGTGGGTGAGTTGGAGTGCTGCTCCCAGTGGAGCTTCCCACCAATGGTGAAGTTCCCTCACCAGTAGAGGATGGCAGAGCCTGGTTGGACTCGGTGGAAGGATGTCTCTGCTCCATCCAAGTCCTCTCCAGCATGGTATAATCATAGAGTTGGAAGGGACTTGAGTTTTATCTAATCCAACCTCCTGCAGGAATATGCAGCTGTCCCTTACGGGGATCAAACCTGCAACCTTGGCATTATTTGCACCACACTCTAACCAACTGAACTTATCCAGCTGAGACTGGGGGTTTGGGTCAGTCTGCCTGTGCCTCCAATAAATGACCAAAATTCATCCTTTCCCCCCAGAATTTACAGGTAAAGTATGATATTGTGTAGGTGCAGATTTCGAAAACAAACCTTTTTGTGAGTGGGTTTTTTTTCCTCTTTGAAAGTAAATACATATTTACCAGGTTACATGTTCGCTATATATGCATGTCTGCCACTGAAGCTGCTAAGGCACAAAGAAGCTCAGGCTGCAGAAGAAGAACTTGCTGCAACTTTTCCTTTTATGTTATTATTTATTTTATTCAGTTCCATTATTTATGTGCTGCTGAATAACACACACACAAATATCTGGGCAGCTTACACCATAAAATAAATGATTTTATTTTTTTTAAGTATTTCTGAGTTACATTCTATTTTTAAAAATCTCCAAGAGGTTTATGCAAAGTATCCAAGTATCAGCTTATCAAAATGCTGGGTCATGAGATCCAGCATTATTTAGCAGGCAAAAAAGATGTGCCTTCAATAAGAGGCGGAAGAGAAAGTAATAGACTACAATGTCTGCTTTTAGAGCAAGAGAGGGAGTTTATGTATCCCAGAATGTGTTTGTAATCATGGAGAAAATAGAATCATCCTAATTATAAAACATGATGCAGTATATAAACTTAGTGGAGAAAAAAAGGTAAACCAAATATATTTTCCAACCCACCACCCAACACAAAATTAAAAGGGTAACCATGCAATTCTATGCATGCCAGAACTAAGTTCTATTCTGTTCAGTGGGGCTCCTGGGTCCACACATGCCGCTTTAATGCTGTCCTCCAAATAATTCTGGGTACTGTAGCTTGTTAAGAGCACTGGCAATTGTAGCTTTGTGAAGGATGCCCTAAGAAACTGTTAGCTCAGTCATCTTCCCCACATCCTTTTTGAGTAAAGTAGGCCCACTACTTATAGGGTTACAGTCCAGGGAGTGTGCCTACACCCAAAATGGTTTATATACAAAACCCATTGGGTTTGATGGTGGGTGGGATTGCCAATGTCATTTCCCCCACTGTCTACCCCCTTTAATTCCCCCCCCATGTGCATAAAACTGAATGTGCACAAGTTAAATGTGCACACGTTGCAGGCTTACTGTACAGTGGTACCTCAGGTTATATACGCTTCAGGTTACAGACTCCACTAACCCAGAAATAGTGCTTCAGGTTAAGAACTTTGCTTCAGGATGAGAACAGAAATCGTGCTCCTGTGGCGCGGCAGCAGTGGGAGGCCCCATTAGCTAAAGTGGTGCTTCAGGTTAAGAACAGTTTCAGGTTAAGAACAGACCTCCGGAGAGAATTAAGTACTTAACCCGAGGTACCACTGTATTTGTTAGCCTCCATCTGTCTCAAGAGACGGTGGAACTTTGTGCCACTGGGGGTAAAGTTCAACCATTGGAGAGTTACAATGCCTGCTCTCGCTGTAGAGAACAATATGATAGAAACATGTTTTATTGCAGCTGAGGCGTCCGGTTTTGCTGTTAAATGGCATTTATTCTCTCTGCTCTTCTCCCAACAGTCATTTCTCCTCTGGTCACTGCTGTGGATACACAACCTGATTGATTGTGTCCAGGTGCTGAGATTGTCCGCAAGAGATTCCCACATGGCAGGGTGAATGTTGCCAGCCTTCAGGTCACATTTGCAGACATCTTTACAACACAGAGTTGGTCTGCCAACAAGCCTGGTTCCTGAAGCCAGCTTTGTGTCAAGTACATCCTTAGGGATCCTGCCATCTTCCATTCTGTACAGTGGCATAGCGGATAGAGATTAGTCCTCCGGGCTTGCTCCTGAAGCCTTGCTCATGAATGAGTATAGCTGCAAATCAGCAGAGGTTTAACTCCTAGATGGGCCACCTTCCCATGGTGACGAGCCCCATTTGCCCCTTATTTCCCTCCACAGCATGCGCAGAAACTGTTTTCTTGATCGTTGGACCCACTACTGGTCTTGTCCACTTGAGCCGCTGGAACCTGTTTTTGCATGCAGGGGGTAACAAATCCCTAACTCATCGAGCGTTTAAGACCCATTGGCTATCCTCATGTGGTTTAGCTGGCCAGTCAAGGCTGTTTCCCAGGATGTGACCACTTTCACATGCTGACAGCTTCTCGGAGCCACGGGTGAGGGACCAAAGGTGGATGAACTACCCCAGAAGGAGCATGATGTGTGTCCCCCACCAGAGGTACTGCCCTTTGCTTAACACTGCATTCACCCCACTGTATTACATAACTACAAAAACATGATATAAGTGTATTTACACCACCTCTTCAGCCTTCTTCACAGTTGAAGCTATTCTGATTGCATAATTGTCCCACAATGTCTACTTCCTTTTCTTCCTTACCCTCTTCTCTACATCTCCTGTCACATTGACTACAAGCAATATTATATCTATTACTGCCTAAGAACAGCACATGCTTCTGGTAAGTGTCTTCTTAACTCTTCTATGCAAGGGGCTGATTTCTCTCACCTTGCAAATCAGTGAACATGCAAGACTTTTCCTAGCCTTAAAGGAAGAAATAAAACATATTTTTGTTCTCTTCTGTAGAAAAAGGAGGAGAAAAACCTGTGAAGAAATTGCAATGAAAAGGTATGGAGTGCAAAATCAAGTGTCTGATTCTTTTATTCATGTTTGTTGAAATATAGATCTGAGTGGTTATAGTAAGTAAAGGGAACTTGGGAATCAGAGAAGGGTAAACAAAATATGTCTATGGGAAACAAAAATATTCAGCATTTTATAACAACAGAAACTTCACTGAACAGAGTGCGTACGAATGCAAATCAAAGCTGTAAGTTTGATTTACAAAACAGTCCTGTTCTTGAAAGGTGTAAAATTATTAAGTACTGCAGGAATAGGAATGGATGATCTGTAGAATCAAAATGGAAAGCTTTCTATCCCAATTCCAACGTATGTTATTGTAATCCAGACACAATATGTCTCACTAGACAACCTATTGGTCCCCCGTCTGTCAGGTGAACTTTAGGCAGTGCTACCACCAGGTCAGGAATTTGAGACAGAAGTCCAGGGCCTAATTCATAATGAGAAGAAAGACCCCACCCCCAAACCATAGCAGTGTTGGCTTTTCATGCTTAGAAGTAAGTCACGGGTGCCAACATGTTACCCATGAGTGCCAGTGTGCCCACCAGAACCTGCTGTGGTGCCTGTTAAAGGTCTCCATAAATAGGAAGCCATAATCAGTACCTTGCTTTGTATTTGGGTATGGACTGGGTGTAATAATAATAATAATAATAATTTATAATTTATACCCCGCCCATCTGGCTGGGTTTCCCCAGCCACTCTGGGCGGCTTTCAAAAGAATATTAAAATACTATGATACATCAAACATTAAAAGCTTCCCTAAACAGGGCTGTACAGTGTAGTGAACATTACACCTAAAAGGGGTATTGTACAAGACCATTAAGTCCAGGTCCTACTGTATATATACCTATCTATATATTTTAAGGAATGCTTGTGGCTTTGCAGCATGTAAAAGGTCCCAGGTTCAATCCTCAGCATTCCAGGTAGGGCTGAGAATCTGAAAATCTGTAGAGCAGAGATGGAGAACCTCAGGACCAGAGGCTGAATGAGGTCCTCTCTCTCTCTCTCTCTCTCTCCAGAGCTTAGGGCTTGCCAATCAGAAGGTTGGCAGTTTGAATCCCCGCGACAGGGTGAGCTCCCGTTGTTCAGTCCCAGCTCCTGCCAACATAGTAGTTTGAAAGCACGTCAAGTGCAAGTAGATAAATAGGTACCACTCTGGCTGGAAGGTAAACAGAGTTTCCATGCACTGCTCTAGTTCACCAGAAGCAGCTTAGTCATGCTGGTCACATGATCCGGAAGCTGTCTGTGGACAAACGCTGGCTCCCTCAGCCTATAGAGCGAGATGAGCGCGCAACCCCAGAGTCATCCATAACTGGACCTAACGGTCAGGGGTACCTTTACCTTTATACTTATTTTGTTTTGACAAACCTACGCAGGCATGCAGTTTTAACACATAATTCCATTACCTATGACGCTTCCAAAATTGCTGATTTTATTTATATTTTTGACTTTCTTAAACCAAGTTATCAACTTATGTGTCATGTTTGTTTTTTATTGGTATTTCTAAAATTAATATTGGCTTGTAAACTGCTGAGAGGTTTTCTGTCAAGTAAGCTGAATTTACCGTATGTTAAATAAAATAAATAAGTCTCCAACATTGCTTTGTAAAGCAATGTTGCTAGCACAGCACAAATTGGAAACCGACAAAAAATGGGCATAGTGGAATTCAGGGCCAACCCTAATGTTAGGCAGAGAGATTTGGCCACCTCATGCAGCAGATGCTCAAGGGCAGGAGCTCCAGCTGTTCCTCCTAACCTCATGTTTAGCAGTGGAGTGGAATTTGATACTGGTGAATTCCAATATGAAATGACCCGATCCACACCTCCTAGACAAATAGGTTGATTGGAATTTGATTCCCCACTAGTTTCTGCACACTCGTGGATGTTTTGACCCAGTTTTCTTTTTTAATATATATATATATATATTATTATTATTAAAAAATTCAACATTAATACATACATATTACAAATATACAAACAAACAAACATACATACATTTCATACAATCCTTAAAAATATTCATACATTCCCACACCCAATCCCACAGGTACTTCCTGTTTTGACCCACTTTTCAGCTCAGAAAGTATATTAAAATGGATTTAGAAATGCATATTTTAAGAGCAAATGCATTTTAAAATGCATATTTAATTACATATCTAACAGGCAGTTTTAATGCTAAATTTAAAACAAAAGGAGATCACAGACTAATGGAGAAAGTGGATGGGACGGACTAACAAGTGAGCGCATGTGAAAGTGACCTGGCCTTGCGTGGTCCTGATAGTATGGCAGTTTAGTATTGTGTTCAGAAAAAGACAAGATCTAGAAACAGATTATCAATTGCAGGTTAAACCAAATGTGTGTTTAACACCCACCCACACCCACATATA